AATACAACACTACAGTACTATTTCATTTTCCCATTACATTCACTTTGTGAACATTCACACAATGCACTGTAATGTAAGAACTATATTTTTGGTTAATGATAGTCAGATTTGGGAAAATACATACTCTTACAAGAGACACACACACAGACACTAGATGCCTTGGTAGAAGGCTACTTTTAGTAGGAAACATAGGGTTTTCTAGGAGAGTTCAAAACGTCTTACAAAACATCTTACAAATACTTTCGTACAAATACAGACACTAATATACTTAGGATCTCACCAGCTTTAAAGCTGATACTCGCTTTCAAAATAACTTGTATTCTCAGGTCACTAGTAGACAGGTACCGAAGCCAGGTTTTGAGAAGATGGAGCTCGTTCAAGACTCATCTTTCATTTTGAATTATATTTTGGTGTCTATTAAATTTGGCAAGACATACTTGTATTAAAATTATATGATTAATGCAATGGATGATGTTGTTGATTGTTTACTACTATTCATTGTTGTGATACTGTACATGACGTCCTCCGCCCCCGAACGTTTCCGCCGTTCTTGGTTTTGGGGTGTGACACACAATGACAACAAACACATAACCACCCCTAGCATCCTACATTATTGTGAGAGGACTCACCTCACTGTTAGTCAGACAAACCGTCACAACTAGTAGAAACGTAACATCCGGTATAACAACCACCTAAACGAGCGATCAAAGGTCAATCTCAGCCTATGAACTAACCCTAATGTTTAACCTAAAGTCAAACCTATTCAAAAAGTCAACAAAGTCAACATCATGTCAAAAACTCGGGCTTAATTGAATATTTAAGATGAATCGATTTAGTGGGTATAAGGCTTTCAAACTATTGAGTCCCGATTTGGATCAATTGAATATTTTAGATGAATCGATTTTGTTTTTGAAGAACTGTCGAATATCAACTGAATCTTTTATCTGGAGTCAAGTATGAAATTATACGATTGTAAATTTGTTTAGTTGTCTATAGGTAGTTTCAATGAAATATATTGATTAAACCTGGTAATAAGCGAGTTTTGATCCTGATCCGCTCCAAGGCCATGCAAAGTTAATGGGTTTGGATCATATTTTATGAATCGTTTAACCGTTAACGACCCGTACTGTTAACCTTTTTATTAAAAGGGTCGGGTATGGATCACTATCGATCTGATCCGTTTATGACTCGCCTCGTCTAAAATTTTAAAATACAAAATTATTATTTATAAATTATACATTTATCACCCATACATGTTCTGTACAGGACTCGAGGAGTTTGATCATTCCACTTTCACTTCCAATTCCTAATGGCCGAATTCAAACGACTCTTAAAACAAATAAATATGTGAAACTTTAGAAGCATTGGTGACTACACAAGATTGATTACCATCAAGGAAACAAAAAAAGTATTTCTTTAACTCTAGAAGTCACTTAAATTTTGACTTGAAATAATTTAATCTATACTTATATGTGTTTACTTTTTTTTCCCTAGGTGATTTGTAAGTGAGTGGATCGGTTGGACTTCATATTTTTTGAAGATGCATTTTGATGTCTACATTTTCAAATGCATGTTTTCAATAGTATACATTTGTTTTGTTTTGGACACGTTATTTATTAAGCTATAATTGATGTTTGTTTTGGAATAAATGTTCTCTAGTTTTAGTGATTCATGTTATATGTGTTGTAATGCATAATTATAGCCTAATCTTAATATTATAAATGGGTCGGGTAAAAGGGTTAAAATTTCATTGATCAAATGGATAATGGTATGGGTTTAATTATTCAAAACCCTGCGGGTTACGGGTCGGGTTTGGATCAACATTTGAAAATTGCTTAATAGGTTTGGATCAAGGCCGATCCGATCCAAACCCGCTCCATTGCCTGGTCTAATATTGATCCATATTCAAACTTGATGTTCCCGATTGATAAACAATAATCTGTTATTGCTGATTTGGTCCTCATAGTTTCATTTATTACGAATTTCGACCCGCACTGTTAACCCTTTTATTAAAAGGGTCGGGTATGGATCACTATTGATCCGATCCGTTTATGACCTTCTCGCCTAAAATTTTAAAATACAAAATTATTATTTATAAATTATACATTTATCACCCATACATGTTCTGTATAGGACTCGAAGAGTTTGATCATTCCACTTGCACTTCCAATTCCTTATGGCTGAATTCAAAACGACTCTCAATACAAATAAATATGTGAAACTTTAGAAGCATTGGTGACTACACAAGGTTGATTAACCTCAAGAAAACAAAAAAAAGTATTTCTTTAATTCTAGAAGTCACTTAAATTTTGACTTGAAATAATTTAATCTATACTTATATGTGTTTACTTTTTTTTCCAATTGATTTGTAAGTAAGTGGATCGGTTGGACTTCGGATTTTTTGAAGATGCATTTTGATGTCTACATTTTCAAATGCATGTTTTCAATAGTAGACATTTGTTTTGTTTTGGACACGTTATTTATTTAGCTATAACTGATGTGTGTTTTGGAATAAATGTTTTCTAGTTTTAGTGATACATGGTATATATGTTGTAATGCATAATTATAGCCTAATCTTAATATTATAAATGGGTCGGGTAAAAGGGTTAAAAATTCGTTGATCGAATGGATAACGGTATGAGTTTAATTATTCAAAACCATGTGGGTTACGGGTCGAGTTTGGATAACATTTGAAAATTGCTTAATAGGTTTGGATCAAGGCCGATCCGATCCAAATCCGCTCCATTGCCTGATCTAATATTGATCAATATTCAAACTTGATGTTCCCGATTGATAAACAATAATCTGTTATTGCTGATTTGGTCCACAAAGTTTCATTTATTACGAATTTCAACCAAAAAAATCCGGACATTTTAAAAATAATTTGAATTTTTAAAAAACATTCCTGATTTCAACATGCTGTAGATTTTCATCATTCCAGATTTCCGCATGTTTATATCCCAACAAACAAGCCATGTGTTTTGAGTGATGAGAGATCCATTAATGTTTTTCTTTATCTTGTACACCCATCTTATTACAATAGAATTTTTGCAAGGAGAAAAATATATAAGCTCTCATGTATCTAATTTTCAAACAAGCTAAGCTCTTCATGCATGGCTCTGTTTCTTTTATGCAAACTATAAACATCATTAACAAAAAATATTTCCCCTCCTATGAAGCTTAGATAATTCTTGTTTTTCTTATCTAGCAACATTAATAAGAACTTGATGAGGGAATTGGGGAAGCGCAAAAGTTTTAAGTTTTCCTCATTAAGTGCCATTTTCAAAAGTTTTCGTTGTTACTTATTCTTGAAGTTGAAAACAAAAAATGAGAAACCCTATTTTCAACCTCCGTAACTATAAACAAGGAATTTTTATTAAATCGAACATATTTGATTTATCATGAATTCTTGATTTTACTTTTCAATGATTTATACAAATTATATGTTTTTCTTTATCTACTATAGCAAATAAAACACATTTATTAGACTCTTCATAAATCCTTCTAGGTGAAAAGACTAGGCTTTGTATCATACTATGGTTCATGTAGTGTGCAATCCTCCAAACTTCATGTCTGTGAACTGTGAATACAACAAACTTCAAAAGAACCAATTTCCTCCCAAGAAGTTCTCGACAGCCTCTTATTATTTAAGAGACCAAATTTCAATAAATATTATATTTTTTCCTTCCCATACATGCCATTTCGTTTTTTCTAACTTTGAGTGTTATTTAATGTTGACTGCTACTGCCTTTGCGATATTTTGCAAATTTATTTGACAATCCATGTTATGTGTAGAGAGTGTTGAGTTTTAGCCTAGTAAATTTCTCCACTCTTGTCTTGAAATAATTGAATTTGTTGAAATCTTGTACTTGGTATTTGATACAGTATAACCAATCCTTTTGTGACAATCATAAATAAAAGAGATAAATGAACAGTTAACTCCCAAATATGATTCTGTCAAATGACCACCAAGATCTTAATGAATAAGTTGTAGGGAACTTTTGCTTTCCAAGAGGTTTGGAAAGGAAAATAAAAATTTGTTATGCATTCCACACTAAGAAGTTTTACGAATACCACAAAGGAAAGGTTGCAAAAAACGCTCGACGTAGGCTCGACGGTGGACTGGGGTCAAGGGATTAATCGGTTAGGCGAGGATTAATCGGATGATTAATCGGAGACCATTATTTATTAAAAAATTAATAATTATAACATTAATCCTAAGAATATAACATTAATAAATATAAAATTATAAACTAAAATAATTATTAAAAATTTAATAAATTTAACATGAAACTATGATCACAGCAAATTGGTTGATTTCTTTATTTCAAGGGATTAATCAGCTTTGACTTTGAACACTCTGATGAATGAACAACAATAGCAAAGAACTAGAATACAATTCAGATTTCAATTCAGATGGTATGCAATTAAGATTTAATAAAAAATCATCCATCATATTCTCAATTCGGATCTTCCAGTGCTTCCAAATGAACCAAGACATTCCCTCCTCCCTGTAAACTGCAATCTAACAAGATCCAAAATTAGATATAACTGGAGTAAATTCTATCTTTTGGCCTTTGGGACTTCGATTACTAGTTTTCCCCAATTGCTTGATTTCTTTATTTAGTTCTTAATGTAAATTACATGAAATCGGATATTTTTGTCAATGACATTAGCAACAGAAGTGAATTATTCAGATACAATGGAGACATCAACTGAAACATCATCCTAATCTATAGATTTCATATTCATATTCTAGAAACAATGATAAATTAGTAAATAATCGAAGAACAAGATCAAAACTAGCATTGACTAAGCAACTTGTTTCAATCATCTTCCATCATAAATGATGATTAATAGATTAAATCATAGGTTTCATGAACAATAGTTCGACTCTAGAATACCCGGTAAGTAAATCGATGAGATTAATTTGAAGAAAGAATGAAGAGTAGAAGAATCACCTGTACTGAACGCCCAATTTGATCCCAAGAACAAGCTTTTCAATGTCTACGTTCATCTTCGCACACCCAGAACAAGTTCGAGCTGAAGCTGGTGGTCATGGTGGAGGATTGGCGGATTGAGGTGGAGAGAAAGGAGGCGTTTGTCTTCTTCGAATTCTGAACTATTTTAGCCAAACAAACAGAGCTCGGTTCGAATTCTCCATCTTTGACTTCACTGGGTCTGTTTGTCTTCTCCAAATTGTTCTTCAGAACGCTATAGATTGCCGATCGAAAAGCCTCTTCAGCCGAGACTTCAACACCGGCTTTGTCGTCACCATCGCCGAAGATTGAAGACTTGAGCAAGCTTGAAAGAAACGCCATCGAAGAACTAATCTCTGTTAATTATCATCTTCCAATCGGAGTCGAGATTGAAGAATGCACATGATCGAATTGTATACCGAGAATCCCAAACACCTTCTGAACATATGAAACATAAAATAGAGAAGAAGGAAGAATGAATTTATATTTGTGTGTTCCTGTGTTTTTTCAATTGAGTATCCCACATCGTTGGTGGGATAAACTATCAAGGGAAAACATTTATATAAAAAGGGTCTAAGGCTTCATTGAAATCCAGATGCACTATGCTTTGGGCCAACTGTCTCCTTTGAGCTGGTGGGTCCTATGAGCCCGGTTTTGGGTCCGATTTTGGATCCAATTTGGGGTCCGATTTAGTCCGATTTGGACTGAATTGGACTGGTTTTGACCGATATTGACGAAGGTCGATTATTTTACCCTCTAACCCTTATTCGTAGGCGATTGGAGGCCGCCAAGCGCTAGGCGCCGATTAATCGGTTGCCTAGACCGATTTTTACAACCATACACAAAGGTAGTTAAATTTAGCAAAATCTCTCATCATCAATACCTTGAAAGCATCTCTAAGTTTCCAGATTTTGGTTAGCCATACTACTATACTATGCCATACATATTGCAATAACTTGAAATCTCCTACAATACCAAAAAAAAAAAAATTAAATAAATAAATAATAAAAAATAAAAAAAGAATTCCATAACCTTGTTTTTTTCAAAGGATGAGCAACGCCACAAAAAATTAATTTTTTAGACAAGGAACAAAATTAAAATAAAATAAAATTACTCTTAATTATTTTGTTCTAAATTACATTTGATCAAGACCATTTAATTTATATAAGTTTCCATATCTTACTTTAGCCTCTAATAAATGATTTTCAAATAACTTTAAGACTAACCTTTTGTTATATGTCATATGCTTAAGTCTCTACGTATCGTACATCTTTACAAGATCCATAAGAAGACACGAGCAAGAAAGTTTCTTGATTATGATATGCTTCGGATTTATTTCTACCTACCCAATTTGCATCAAGTTTTCTTCCCCTATGAATGGAGTAGCTTGATAGCTTCTCTCGTCAAGTGACCATGTTTTTAATAATTGGAAAATTAAATGTAGATGCGTCCTCTTTTTCTTTGATATCTCATTTACATCCTCTTTGTAGAATTATGAAAGTTCGATCTTGATTTGCTTCAATAAATCGATTTTCCTATCTTCAATGACTATGTAAAAATATTCCTTTATATTTTCATCCTCTAACATGAATACGGTCTCTACCTCTTTTATTTAATTATTCATTCCTTTCATTTAAAGTGTGATCTGACATAATGCTTTATCCAAAACTACTCCTTTTTTCTACTAATTTAGTCTCCTGTTATGGGCTTGCAATGAGCCAGTGAGTCCATCCATGGTCATGGAGTCCAAATCCTTAAAATGAATATTTTTTGAAGTGTCACAAATGTCACATATAGTTTCATAATTACTTTTTAATTGGTTATCTATTAACAATACCCGCGATACAATTATCAGAAATGAATGATGACTCTATTTCATGCTTTCTTTAAAATCCCCTCGAAGGGTTTGCAGCTAAATTCATTTTACATGTATATCTTCTTTCTTTTCACTAATTCTTTCTACTTGCTCCTATCAACCAAAGAATTTTTCTACTTCTGTCACTAGAAAAATATGCATATCATTATATTCAATATGTATAAAAAGGAAAATGACTGCTTTCATTTTTTTAGTGGTTAGAAGTTAAATTCACCAAGTTAGCTAATACGTCTAAACCCGAGATAGAACTTGGGACCTTCAATCTAAGAGACTTCCACCTCTACCAAATTGTTTATTAGTCCTACACTGGCAATTGCTTTCATGAGATACCTGGATTTGGTATATAGATGTTGCATACTATTGACATGAAATCTTTTCTACACTTTTAAGAATTTTCAAAAATCTCTTATGCTTGTTGTGGTAACATACCACAAGTTATTTTCAACCACAAGACTTTTTAAGAGTGTACACTTGGTATATTCAAAACACAACTTGCTGATGTATCCTCGATCTTCTTAGATCCTACTTTTTGAGTTTGTGATTCCATATTTTTAGTTTTGGTATTATCAACAGTAGAGTAATATGATTGAAGTTGTTAATTCATTCAATAAGTTACAAGACTATATAAAGGCTGATTACAGAGGTTGAGAAGAGTTATTCTACACGAGATCAATAAGGGGCTAATATAGGATCTGTTGACTATACATTTAATATACAAAATACAAATAGAGTTAATTGTAAACATGTTGTATTGGTGAGTTGGGCTGCTGTGGATCTTTGGGCTGTTGTGGATCACTATTGGATTGTATATCCTCGATACGCCCCACAAGATGGAGGATCCATCGGAAACTCCAATCTTGGAACGATTACGTAAAAATGATGCTCGAGTGAGAGGCTTGGTGAGCACAATGTCGTCTACATAGACCATGAAATAACATGTAACATTGTGCTAGTTATAAATGAATAAGGAAACATCAACTAGGGATTTCTTGAAACCGAAATGAAGAAGGAAGGTGGTGAGCTCAATGTACCAATCTCGTGGAGTTTGTTTGAGGCCGTAAATGGATTTTTTTTAATTTGCAAATGTGATTTGGGTATTGGGGATGGACATATCCAGATGGTTAAGACATAAAGACTTCTTCATGAAGTGTCCCATGAAGGAAAGCATTATTGAGATCGAGTTGTTGGAGAGGCCAATTGTTTGAGAGAGCTATGGAGAGGATGGTTCGAATGGTCACAGGTTTTGTGACGAGTCTGAAAGTGTCGAAGTAATCTTTCCCGTATTGTTGAAGAAAGGCCTTAGCAACAAATCGGGCTTTGTATTTGGATATGGAGCCATCCAGATTTCGTTTTATGCTGAAAACCCATTTACAGCCAATGGGTGTGTGAGAGGAGGGAGGAACTAGATCCCATGTTTGATTTTGAAGGAGAGCATTGAACTCAGAATCCATGGCATTTAACCATTTTGGGTGTTTGAGTGCTTGATTGTGGGTGGAAGGTTCAAGTATAGGAGGTATAGGGTGTGTAACGCCCGTGTTTCTAGGCTAGACACTAATGATGATGTAATGGTCTAGGTTAACCTTTGTAGCCCGTTTCAAAATAATAGAAATGTATTATTGGGTATTATGTGTTTTGTGCTTAATTGTGTGACTTAAATGAATTAAGGGTAAAAATAAGCGTCATAATAAAATGTTAGATAAACCCGATATCTATACATAAAGAGGTAGTGGCCGAGACAAGGATTTCGGGTATGTAAAAAATGCCGAAATCCGAGTTATAACGAAGAAGTTATGACCTGTCGAAGTTTCGCGACAGAACCGACACGACACTGTGCGACGTAAATAGTGAATTTACGATAGAGTGATATTTGGCCTTAGTGATCTAAATGAAAGTCTTAGAATACGTTAAACCGAGAGAGTGCATAAAAAGAACGTCCAAATCTGATTTCGTATGAGGAAGTTATGATTTTTCTAAGTTTCAGCTTAGGAGTATGCAACCCAAAAATCGATATTTAGATCGAGTGATTTCTAGCCGAAACAATATAAACGAGAATCGAAGATCTCTTCAATAGTTGTGCAACGGTAAAAAGACAGACGAAAACGGACGTCGGATGAAGAAGTTATGAATTTATAACAGACTTTTCCTGTCCCGGCCTACTAAAAATATAATATTAAAAATGAAGTCAAAATTAGCCGACGGAGTCTAAATGAAAGTTGTAGAGCATAATCTCACCTATGCGTGGATATAGAGAACGTCTAAAACGGAGCTCGTATGCGAAAGATATGAATTTCTGAAGTTCGGGGCACGAACTTCAATCTGTGTCAGAACTCACGACGTGAACATAGAGTTCACGACGTGAACTCAGTGATTGACACCTTCAGAGCCTGACAGACTGACGTAGCGATTACACACCTAATGACGACCGAGTTCACGACGTGAACAAGCCTGGTTCACGACGTGAATCTCAGATTTCATCCCTATAAATAGAAATCGAAGGCAGCCGGTTTTGGTTGCTAATTTCTCAACCTCTCTCCTACTTTTCTCATCATTAAGCCTACTTTTAGCCCCCTGAAGTCCTGGTATCATCCCCGACACCCGAAGCATGTCCCGAAGCCCCGAAGATCCCGAGAAAAAAAGTTTTCGAGCCGAAACTCTGCCCGCGAGAAGCCCGGTTTCTGAGAAAACATCCCGGTTTCATCGAAGAATACTACTTTAAGAGCCGTAGTGTTGTCCGATCATCATCTTATCAAGTGAGTGTATAGTCACTTTCATCTTACACATATATATGAAGTATTTTATAAAATACGTGTTATGTCTATATATATTGTTTGTTTGTTAAGATGGATCAGACATACCCGATCCGGGAATATGGATTAGGTAAAGAGGTAAATTTTAGATCCGGGAGTACGAACTATGTATTTTTGAACTACGTGTTCATTAGGTGATTTTGAACTAGGTGTTCATCAGATATTTTTGAACTATGTGTTCATCCGATAAGGTATCAAGTGCGTAGTCCCTTTCATGAACATGATTTTAATACAAGTATTGATTAAAGTATTAAATGTATATGTGTGTGAAATATTTGTTATTGCTCGAAATATGTGTTAGATATATATTTGATGATATACGACGTGCGAACCAGTTATGGTCCAATATGTGTTAAGATGTGTATATATGATATTATTACTTAAAACTTTGTGTTAAGTATACACTAGTTAGCGTTGCCTAAACGGAGATAGTATCGAAAATTGATTATAAGCATTGTAGGTTTGCCTAGTGATGGGTTAAGACTTAAAAAGGGATGTTTAGTTCAATTAAGTTTGGACATTGGGTAGCCTCTTATTAAGAGTACATGTGTGGTGAGATTGATGATCGGTGGAGTACGTCCTACGTACATAAGTACATTTTATGTACGAAGTCCTTTTCAAAGCTCCGTGTCTTAGGTGCTGCTTGTGCCGGGGTATTT